TTTTTATTTTTGGCTACATTTTTTAATTAGTACTTATCTAATTAGTTTCAACTTTATTTTTTTTCTTTAGTAATATTAAGTAATTATTATATTTTTATTTTTACATTAATTTATCATAAAAATATATATTAACTTAATAAACAAAATTTACTAATTGGTTGAAAATCTTAAAAATTTTTTGTATTTTATTTAAAACTAATATAATTTTTTATTAAAAATAAAAATTAATGTATAATTATATAATTATAATTTTATTCGAATCCGTTATTTATTATCTGTTATCCACTTTTCACTATATACCATCCATTATCCACTGACTATCACCTGTTACCCACTATTGCTATCCATTACTCATTATTTGCTATCTATTAAATTTTAACTACTATACTAAATAGGTTTTAAATTAAATATTTTATTTATATAACTAAGTGTCCAAATAACTACCACTAAATCATAAAGCTAACAGTAGATATTATATTAGAGAAATAGCTCTACAACTACAAAACTGTTTCTTGTTAAAAAGCAATGCCCTTGAACTTGATGGGAACTATTGTAGTACTCCATCGAGATTCACTTTCTAAACAGTACTCGTGGGAGTGCCACAGTGGCTTCTCCTCGTCTGGTAGCGTCAGGAACAGGTTCTCCGAGATCAGGTACTCCAGCCCTATGAGACAGGCGTCCTTTTTGGGGTTGTCGTAGATCAAGCACTGCCGCATCTCTTTGTTCTGATGGGCGCAGAAGTGGTGTTCCTCTACTTGACGGGTCATGTCGTTACTGTAGAAATGGAATCTACATACATATGCAATTCCAGATGAATATTCCTTTTAATTACCGAAAGGATTAAATCACAAAATGGGGAAATAAATGAAAATTGGTGGAAAGAAAATGAGAGAGAGAGGAAGAGAGAGAGTGAGAGGGGTTCGAGGCAGACAACGGACACGGGCAACAAGAACGACACTGAGCTGGGAGTGGGTAGGATCCTGCAGAAGAGGCCAACAACGGAAGTCAACGGTGGAGAGACGGGGACAATGGCAAGCCGATCGAAATCAAGGTCGAGTGAAACAGAAAGGACCGTATGATGGGGGTCTTTACAAACAAGCCACACCTTATTTCTTCACCAACTTCCCAGAGTACTGGACTTATGCAGATATGTGGAGAACTTACTTGCAATTTGGGAGGGTGTATGATATTTACAGCCCGAACGGGAGAAGTAGGAATGGAAGCAGGTTTGGGTTTGTGAGGTTTTTGGAAGTTAAAGACAGGAAGGAGCTGGAACAACAACTGGATTAGATATGGGTTAATGACATGAAATTATGGGTTAACAATCCGAGGTATGATGTTGAAAAGAACAAAAGCAAGGAGAAAAGAATCAACGGTGAAGAGACATCACAGGTGCAAGTTCACAATTATGATGAGGCCATGGAAGGAAAAAATAGTGGAGGAAGGGTGTCACAGAATCAAAACAGAAGTTATGCTGAGGTGGTGAAAGGAAAATAGGGGGAAAGATGTAATGAGGATGGAAATATTCAGACTCAGACAACCCAGGAAAGAAGCAAAAGCAGAACCAGATACGGGTTTCAAAAAATGGAGCCAAGGAAACGATGGCAGGAGAAAGGAAGGAGAGAAAATTGGGTAGGAATGGAATATAATATCAAACCAGAAGAGTTTACATGGCTCACAATTTACAAACTAGAAGAGTTTACATGGCTCAATGGTTGTTATGTGGGAACAGTGCATACAGTAGAGATGGTTCGCAATTTACAAGAGAAATTTTATATGGAAGGGTATTTCTCTTGTAAAATCTATGCGATGGGAGGAAGATTGGTCTTATTAGATTGTGAGGATAAGGAGGAACTTAATGATCTGGTGGAGATGGCATCAGAATGACTAGGGCAATGGTTTGAAGAGGTGCGTCCTTGGACACCAGAAACGGTTGCTAATAAGAGATTTGTATGGATAAGATGCCAAGGGACACCTTTGAATGTCTGGGGAGTTGATTTCTTCCAAAAAATGGGCAGCTCATGGGGGAAATTCATTTGCTTAGATGATAGTACAAGCAAAAAGAAGAGATTCGACATTGCCAGATTTTTAATATCCACTCCAATATCAAACTCGATTTCAGTCATGAGACAAATCAAGATTAATGGGATCATTTACAGTATTAAATTCACAGAGGAAGAGTTCACTAATAGCTTCTTTTCCTTGAAGCAAGATTTTATGCCCTCATTCCAAAGCGATTCAGAGGAACAGGAGAAATGGTCAACCGAGAGTGACATGGAAGAGCAAAAATCCAAAAATGCAGGGGAAGAGTTGCAGGTTGAAGCCGAGGGTTTTCAGGAAGAAGATGATGACGTGTTGAGAAGTTATGGGGAGAAAGAGAGAACGGCTCAAAGTCAAAGCAGACAGGAAATTCAGAAGTCAGCAAAAATAGTGGAAGACAACCTGGAACAAATTCAAACTTTGAATGAAGTGGGAAGAAATGTAGAGGCAGAGTCGGTGACCAAAAAGCAAGGGGTTTTGGCATCATCAACGAGGCCCGAAGATGAGAATGGGGCTGAATTGGGCTTTAAGAAGAATGATCAATCATGCAAGAAGCCCATGAGACACGAAGAAAGTTTAAAGTGTGATGAATCTACTAATATGGGCTTGGCCCAAGGTAGCCTGTGGGTAAAAAACTCAAAAGCAAAGGGTATAATGGATTTTTGCAGAGACAAAGGCACTGCAGAGGATAATACCGAGGATGAAGATGCAGATCTGGTCTGGAAAGGATACAAGAGTGAAAATGGAAGCATGCAAAAAGGGATGAATAAGCAAAGAGAAGGAAACCTCAAAAGGAAGGGGAGGCAGGTAAGAAATTGCAGCTTTGTCTATTTAAATACATTTGAAATAGACAGTGAAACACGGAGAAGCCAAGGCTGAGGAAAGGGAAAGCAGAACAGACAATCGGGTTTGAGGAAATCAATGCCAGATTTTGTGTCGAGCCCAAACGAAAAAGTAGCAGGAGACTCAATCGGTGACTCCGAGATCCAACAATGTAACAAAGCCCCGAAGAAACAGCTGCAAAACAAATTGGCGAAGGAGATCTAGGAGCTTGCAAAGCAATTGGGGGCAACAACGGAGGATGAGGAGGAGATAATTCGAAGGATTGAAGAGATGGAGAGTAGAGACAGACAAGGAAAGGTGACCACGGGAAACCAAGAGGAAGTTGGAAGCAAGAAGGTATGTAAAGTCCCTAATGATAATGCTGTCATTTAATATTAGAAGACTTGGTGGGGTTGGGAAAAAAAGGCAGATTAGAGAAATGGTTTTGAAGGAAAGAATAGATTTTTTAGCAATTCAGGAGACGAAACTGGAGATTGTTGATAGAAGCTTATGCCGAAGGGTATGGGGGTCAGTGAACCTAGATTGGGTATCAAAACCTTCTAACGGCTTATCAGGTGGCTTGTTGTGCATCTGGAATTCTAATGTATTTAAAAAGAAAGATGTATTAGAAGGGGATAATTTTATTGGGGTGTTTGGAGTATGGGGGGAGGAGGAAACACCAGTGCACATATTAAACATATACTCCCCTTGCCAATTAATGGGAAAGAGAGCTTTATGGGAGGAGCTGTATAACCTGATTAGAAGCACAAAAGGTTGTTGGTGCTTGACAGGAGATTATAATTCAGTTAGAAGAGCAAAGGAAAGGGCAGGGTGCAAAGGGGTGTCCAAAGAAATGAAGGAATTTGATGAGTTTATTCTGAGAACTGAATTGATTGACTTGCCTTTGCTGGGAAAGAAGTTTACTTGGTACAATTTCAATGGTCAACAGATGAGTATAATAGATAGATTCCTGGTTTTAGAAGACTGGATTTCTAAATGGAGTGATATTAAGCAGTCGGGGTTGAAGAGAACAGTATCAGATCACTGTCCAATCCTATTGAAGAATGAAAAGGTAGATTGGGGTCCAAAACCTTTTAAATTCTTCAATAGTTGGTTGGAACAACCAGGGTGTAAAGAGGTAATTAGAAACTCGTGGAACTCCACAGAAGTAAAGGGGTGGAGTGGCTTTATACTTAAAGAAAAACTGCAAAGAACAAAGAAAGCCCTAAAGGAGTGGAGTGCTAAGTCGGTGACAGAGATGGATAGAAGAATAAAGGAAGCTGAAAATGTGATAGCCGTGATGGATGAGAAAGGAGAGAACAACCAATTATCCACATATGAGATTGAAATGAGGAGAAGTAGCTTTCTTGATTTGTGGAAGAATTTAAGAATCAAGGAAAGGATGTCGCAACAAAAATAAGGAAGATGTGGCTAAAAGAAGGAGATGCGAATACAAGATTCTTTTACAATTGCATCCAAGGAAGGTGGAGAAGAAGCGAAATTAATTCTATCCAGATAGATGGTGAACAATACACTAGGGTGACAAAAATTAAAGAAGAGGTGGCTAAATATTTCCAAACATTGTTCACAGAAGAAAGATGGAAGAGACCAAAGCTAGATGGGGTTAGCTTTAAGCAAGTATCACAAGCGGATAACGAGCTTCTCACGAGAGTATTTTCAGAAGAGGAAGTTAAAGAAGCAATTTGGGATTGTGATTCTTCCAAATCTTCAGGCCCAGATGGATTCAACTTCAGATTCATTAAAGAGATGTGGGAAGATATAAAGCCGGAGGTAGTTGCTTTCATTCAGGAGTTCCACAAACATGGTAGAATTGTTCGTGGATCCAATGCATCCTTCATTGTGTTAATCCCAAAGATAGAAAACCCCCAAAGAATTGAAGAGTATAGGCCCATTTCACTTATAGGGGTCATATACAAGATCATAGCAAAGCTGTTAGCGAACAGGTTGCGAAAGGTGTTACCCAAGGTCATCGGGGAGCAGCAAATGGCATTTATTGGGGGTAGACAATTAGTGGATGGTGTTATCATTGCAAATGAAGCCATTGATGAGGTCAAAAGGAAGAAGAAGAATTGCTTCATATTTAAAGTAGACTTTGAGAAAGCTTATGACAAAGTATGCTAGGAATTTATGGATTACATGATGATGCGGTTGGGATTTAATGAAACTTGGAGGAAATGGATATTGGAGTGCCTAAGCTCAAGTTTGATTTCTGTTCTAATTAATGGTAGTCCAACAAATCAATTCTCAGTTAGCAAAGGCATACGACAAGGAGACCCGCTATCACCATTTCTCTTCTTGATAGTGGCAGAAGGGTTGAATAGTTTAGGTTTAAGTACCATTTTGGTCCCTCAACTATTCACTTTGGTACCAAAATTGTCCCTCAACTTTAAAAAGTACCAAAATTATCCTTAAACTTTCATTTTCGGTACCAAAATGGTCCTTCCGTCAGTTAAATTAACAGCTGGCACGTTAAAGGGACACATGGCACGTTAAGTTGCCAGAGAATTATATTTTTTTTGAAAAAAATACTGATGTGGAAAAAAAACACACAAATTGATGAGGTGGCACCTTTTTTTTTGTTTATGTGGCACTTTTAATTGTAATAAATAAATAAGAATTAATTATTATTAATTAATTAAAGTCAATTAACCTTTTCTTCCTTATTTTCCTGTTCTTCTTCAACCTTCCCCTCTTTC